TCAACTATCGGCTATTTTTAAATCGAATAGTTTATATTAATTAAATTATAAAAACAAATAATAAAAATTACAAAAACAGTTTCATTTTTAGATATATACAATAATTGAAAAGACCTTTATGAAGGTAAAATGTAAAGAATACGATATTTAACTAAAAAACAATTAAAAAAAGAATTTATTTTAATGTTTGTTATTTATATTTAAAAACAAAACTATTGATATTATTGAAAAGTTTCAAAAACCTATAAAAACAATAAATAATAAAGACTGATAATGATGGCGACGATGATGTTGCTGATATGAGGACGGAAAGAAGACGGAGAAGACGGAGAAGATAAAATGGAGAATATGCAAATTTAATCAGCTCATCGAACATAATTATGGATCTTGTATTTTAAATGAATATTAGTTCAACTTTCGTTGTTTTCTATTGTAATTTATATGAAAAAGCCTAAAAATAATTAATTTTAAATAGAATATCTAAAAATATAAGTCAAAAACTCACATTTTTTTATTCCCAAAAGTGCATTATAGGGTTTTCCTTTTTCTTTATACACAAGGAAAAGATTGTAAAAAGTTAAAAATGACTTGTTTTTGTTCTGGAAGTTCTACCAAAATCGACAAGGGATTGATCATTTACAACCATTTTATCACACCCCTATAATCATTGTCAATTGCCTATAATATCAGCGTTGTGTAAAGACGTTAATAATCATACACAAGTTATCGCTTTTGGATTTATTAGGCACCGTTTTACTTCGTATTATACTGATTTTCTATCTTTTATCAGATGTCGTCATTCAAATGTTGAATGTTTTATTGTCGATAGATCAGCACCAGAATCTTCTGCCATTCAAAAAGTTTTTCCAGGTGTTAAAATTGTGTATTGTTATAGACATATTCGTCGCAATATAATTACCGCGTTTGGAAAACACTCAGAAATGTTGAAACGTTATGAAAGGCTAATTCGTGGTGAAATCAACAGTGTTGATTTTTTGAATTATATTTCTCTTTACAAATGTGAAGATTCTGAAATAAAACTTAAAGGTAAATTGGTCGAAAACATTGAGTTATTTAAAGAATTTATTGATTATTGTGAAACTGGTAAACAACATTCAACAAATACTATTATGGCATCAGAAAAAAAAGAAATTTCTTTAACAACTTGAAGCAACAAAATTTAGTTGGTTACCTGAATTTAAGGTGAATAAGATTTAAACCCAAACCCAACACGTATACATTTGTTAATATAGTTAATTTTTAATACAACTAATTAGAAACAATTTTACACCAAAAAACTATATTATATAATTATGTTTACTATTAAGAAACAATTAAAAAGACAAAAAATAATGGTTAAAATATGTATTAGTTATTAAAAAAATGGAAAATAATACAATTTATTCAAAAATCATATCAAGTAAAAAAATATAAAAATTAATTAAAATCAATTAATAATAATCAAAAATCACTAAATGTAAAAACTTGAATATAAATATTATTTTTTTGTTGAAATTATGATTTTGAAGATGCTTGTTCATGATACAAAAAATGTATTTAAAATGATATAGTAATGGTTCTTTTATCTTTAAAAACAACCCTATATTAATATTTTATTACTTGTTATCAAATTAATTCCAACAATTTCAATGACTTTACTACAGACAAACGATGTTTATTTTAAAGGACTTCAAGAACAACACAAAGTTCCACAAATGTCATTGTGGAACACGTTGTCATCACTACAAAGTAACGATCTTCAGGCAAAAAACATTTTAAACTTGTATAGATCCATTGAAATACTCATTTTGTGTGTTTTTAAACAACAACCCACTATAACACACAGGTTGTATTCGGTAAATGACAAAATTGTTAAAGGATTGTATGACATGCTTGGGGAAACAATTGATGGTTCTTGTACAAAAGAAATAAAACGATTTTGTTATACATTAACTGACACATTTACAATTCAAATTTATGCTGCAACACATACTCGCTCCGACTCTCCTAAACAAATTTATAATTGTAAGTCTGTTGGTTGCAATTCTTCTATAGTTGTTTTCATATTTGAACAAAAGTACCTATTTATTTACTACAATCCATGGCACATTGATCACTCGGAAACAACAATATCAAAAGGTCAACATTTTTTTAATTTGATAAAAAACAAATTCTACTTCGAGATGCAAAAGAATAAGTTAGTACGCAACTTTAAAGCTAAACCATGGTTTTACATACAATCCTCAAATACTTTATGATATTCGTAAAAGAGCATATGAAGATCAAACCATCAAACAGGCAAATCAGCTTAATATATACCTAAATTCCCTTTCAGATTTTTCAACTGTGTTATTCGTGGACACTCAAAGAAGATTTGTAGGATGTTTTTGCCTCAACATGCTATCAGTTAACGAATACGATAATTGATGTCTTGTCATAGATGACACACACTGCACAAATAAATTTTCCAAACCTTTATTCGTTGTTGTTTTTAAAAAGAATGATATAACAAGATTGTTGTCATTTGAGTTTTTACGTGACGCATCCAAACAAGCGTTTGAGCAATATTTAAAAGAACTTAAACAGCAACTTGATTTAAGATGTTTATCTCCCTTTGGGTTTTCATGTGAACGGTCTAAAGCAAAATAATCAGCACCATATTCAGTATTTGGTCAACAGACAAAGATAAGACACTGCTTGTTACACATAAATGACAATTTAGAAAAGCTTTTTTCATATGATGATGAAATTATATATTTGTTTGATTCACTTTTTAAAGAAAGTGTTGATAGTGAGAAAGCGGAGGCGTTGTTCTTAGCGAAACTAACATTGTTGATTTCTTCAGAAGACATACGGTCAAATAAAATTTCGAATACAATAACATTATTGAATCACGAAGAGTATTCTGATTTTTTAAAACTTGCGTTGTCATCTGATTCAATTCCAGATAAAAACATTAATAATCGATTTGACAAGTTTAAAGTTCTTTAAACACTTTTTGATATAAAACACACTTTTATGCCTTCTCAAGTATGTCAAGAGCTGTATTCAGCCTCAAATTTAGCAGAAGGTTTTTTCACATGCAAAAGCACCAATACATGGTCGAATTCCAACAATATTGGAAGCGGCAAAGGCTTTTGTATTGTACACACACCAACTCCAAACAAACAAAAATACACTTTCTGAAGAACAGATGAATGCTCTCAAACTGCTGGTCCCAATTAATGTCTTACCCAAACTTACTTCAAAAACAGTTGATTTACTTTTGGACAGCTTTGATACGTTTATTCGTACGAGTAAATGTTCGTTGGGTAATGGATGTAATTGTGAATGTGAAATGTATTTTGAAACGGAGATTCCTCGTTGTCATATGATATACTTCAGAAAAAGAGGAGGTGATGTGTTTGTTGACCCGCATTGTCCACTTAGATACTACATAAATATCAGGGGTAAAACACGACTAATCGTGAAGGGTCCTTGTTCTGCACCACTTTTTACTCAAGATGATTTTGCAAAAAAATGTTTAATTATCGAAAATATAGTTACTATTCATGAAGTTAAAGTCGTTTCTGATAATAACACTTTGAATGAGAATGATGTCAAAAAGAAAATGTTTGATTTAACCCGCAATTTGAGGAGAAAAACTGTGTTCAAAAAAGTCGTTGGTTTTGTTGAAGAAATTGACAAATTACGAGAAGACAAAACGGGATATGAAAATGACGAAGTAAAAGACCCTTTGGTTATAGCGTGTGCAGGAAAGAAAAAAAACTAAAACTTCAAAGAATGTCGATGAATCATTGTCAATAAAACGCAAAAAAACAAAAACAAGAAAAAAAGAACAAATCAAAGATTTTTAAAAAACCAAAAAAATGATTGATTTTTTTACAAGTTAAAAATATTTCTTGTTGTCTTTTTAATTGTTTCTTAATAGTAAACATAATTATATAATATAGTTTTTTGGTGTAAAATTGTTTCTATTAGTTGTATTAAAAATTAACTATATTAACAAATGTATACGTGTTGGGTTTGGGTTTAAATCTTATTCACCCTTAATTTACTGGTAAATGACTTCGATTTACAAACATGTGTGAAGATTTTTGGACCATAAAGTCAACAGAGA